TTTAGGGGTGTAGGGTATTTATGAGTTTAGGGTTAAAGGTTTAGGGCATGAGGTTTAGGGTTTAGGGTGTAAGGACAATGTGCATCCTGCGTGGTCTCTCCAGAGGCTTACAAGAGGGCCGCGGTCAAGTTCCATCCCGACAAGGCTGGCCCCCCTGCAGCAAGTGTGCCATTTTGGTGAATTCAAGCCTTTTCTAGGGTTTAGGGTCTAGGGCTTAGGGCTTAGGGTTTTGGGCTTAGGGTTCATTATCATCACGAACCACGTTTTTGTCGCGTTTTTGTCTCTTGACTCTGAGGGCTTGATCTGATTTGCCTGCTTGGGGGCTGCGGCACTTCGGATCTCTTTCCCTAAGCCTGCATCAATCTCGTGGTGCGCATATCCTGAGCAATCCTAACCAATCAAGTTAACCTTGCTATAATGATAGCTTTAGTCCCTCTATCTCCGGGATAGGTATATATATATATATATATGCATATGCATGTTGTTTTATGTGTATCCAGATGTATACGTATATGTGTGTGTAGAAACATGTATATCGCAGGTATGTAGGGCCATTGGCTACTAACCCCAAACCCTAAACCCTAAACCCTAAACACTAAACCCTAAACCTTAAACCCTAAACCCTAGACCCTGAACCCCAAAACCCTAAACCCTAAACCCCTAAACCCTAAACCCTAAACCCAACTCTTATGGATGCTTTCAGGGCCCAGGCTCTTCTGACCATGCCTGGCCGCAAATCAATATGCGTGACGCCCGAAAGCCCAAAGCCGAAGCTCGAAACCCTACAGGGTTGAGGGTTTAGGGTTAGGGTTGAGGGTTTAGGGTTCAGGGTTTTGGATTTAGGGTTTGGGGTTAAGACCCGAAAACTTAAACCCTAAGTCCTCTGCAGGCGCCGGAGGCGGAGAGAGCGCAGTATGAGGCCATGGGTTTAGGATTTAGGATTCAAGGTCTTTATGGTTTAGGGGAAAGCGTTTACAGGAGAAAGTGTTTACAGCAATCTCCGGAAAGTTGGAACATGGTTTAAGGATGACTGGAGCTGGGATTCCCTTTACTATACCTTGTGGGGCATGTTCCAACTTTCTGGAGTTTACCGTAGGGGCCTCGGTTTTGGGGACTGGAGGGTAACCATTGGATTGCGCAGGACAAAAACCCGCATTGTTTGAAAATAAATTTCCCTCCCCCCAACACGGCCCCAACACAAGGCATTTCCGTGTTTAGGGTTTAGGGTTTCGAGGTTTAGGGTTTAGGGGACTCATGGAAAGGGTGTTGTTTTGGCACTTGGCCGGCTTCCGTAGTGGAGTAGAGGGGGGGGACTTCTGAGGTCTCGGATTCAGGGTGTATGTGGGTAGTCTTCAAAATATAGGGTGCCTTTTTGGGTTCTTATTTTCAGGGTGCCGTGCGATATATGGCACCCCAAAATGGACCCTTATTTAGAGAACTGCTCATGCGGCAAGACAGCTTTTCGGCTGAGGGTGTGTGGTTCGCCGGGTGTTGGTCCCAAGAGCACAATACCGTTTACGTCAGGAGCACACCTGATGACAACAGAGACCCTTGTGTAAGGTATCTGCCCCTAAACCCTAAACCCTCAACCCTGAACCCTCAACCCTCAACCCTCAACCCTCAACCCTAAACCCTAAACCCTAAACCCTAAACCCTAAACCCTAAACCTTTAGGGTCTTGGAAGATCTTGGAAGAAAGCGCCCATACATTCCAGAGACTCACAGGGCTGTGAAAAGCCTTGTGGCTTAGAGATGAACACGAGTTCAGGGGCTTCTTCCCCAGCCACTGTAGACGACGCCGGTGTGTGAGAAATCCGAACCTAAACCCTAAACCCTAAACCCTAGACCCTAAACCCCAAACCCCAAACCCTAAACCCTAAACCCTAAACCCTAAACCCTAAACCCTAAAACCCTAAACCCTAAACCCTAAACAGCCCTGAAGCCCCTGTGCAGGAGCGCTTCAAGCGCATCTCCCGCGCCTACGAGATTCTCTCGGACCCCCAGAAGCGTTGCTCGCCACGCCCAAGGGCTGAGGGCTCTACTGTTCAGGGGACCCTGAAGGGTTTAGGGATAAGAGCTTGGGGCTTTCAGTGGGGTTCTTTGGGTTTGCAGGATTGTGGCAATTTCTAGGGTTGTGCGGTTTCGTTCGGTAGAGGCTTGTTGTATTTGTCTGCCTTGTAGTTTGGGACTTCTGGGGTTTTCAGGGCTTGCAGGGTGGTTTTTCGTGTTTCAGGACGAAAGATCTTGAGGATTTTGGCATTTGAAGGCTTTTTTTCTGGCTAAGGGCTGTGCTTGGGGTTTCGGGTGTCAGGCTTAGCAAGTCTTTTTTGGGTTTAGGGTAGCCCTAAACCCGAAACCCTAAACCCTCAACTTAAGCCGCAAACCGTAAATCCTAAATCCTAAACCCAAAACCGCATAGTGTTGACGGTCTTCAGGGTCTCGGTCTTTAGGGTTTGGTGCTTTTAGGGTGTTTTTGGCTTCGGGCTTCGGGTTTGACTGATAGTTTTTGCTGGGGTTTCGGGTTTAGGGTTTAGGGTTTAGGGTTCGGGTTTTTAGGGTTTAGGATTTCGGGCGGGTGGGTCCACTGTTCAGGGCTGGCGTCGGCCATGTGGGGGCCTAGAGGGACCAGAGTATTTAGGAGGCCCTAAACCCTAAACCCTAAACCCTAAACCCTAAACCCTAAACCCTAAACCCCTAAGCCCACAAAGCCGAAGGGTTGTCAGGTTATTTGGGCCTTTGGGTGGCCTTAACAGTTCCTCTGTTGGGGGAGAAATTCCGGCTTTGGGATCAGATCGGAATATTTCTTGCTTATGCTAACAGTCCTTAATCGGGATCCTCGTACCCCCCCCCCATTACAATCCCTATTTGAGGACTGCCTTGGCTGGACTCTTGCTCAGGAATTTGAAGATATAGGATACTACGTTATGTGCTCTACGAGCCTGCTAATAAGGACACTACATTCTGTGCTCTAGTAGCCTATGGTAACTTCGTTTAAGTTCTGTAAGAAGATACCTTGACGAAGCTCAAACACAAGGAAAGAAGCTTGGGGAACTCATGCCTACAGTTCTTGGGATCTCTTTGGGATTCTTGTGGAGTCCAGGCTTCAGGGCATGGGGACTTGGGCTGAGAGCACCGGATCCGGATCCCTTGCCCGAGGGCGCGCGTACGACGCCAGGGGTGAGGCGGCCCCGCCATGGGTTTGGTGTGGGTGAATATAGGAATAATTGCTAATACTTTTCCCTTAGGGTCCCTTTATCATATTATACTATAATTACCCCCAAAACCCTGTTGCCCCTGCATTATAGGCTCCAGGGTATGCTGTGGGCTTTTGAGGGTGGGCGTGGCTCATGGTTGGATGCTCCACTCAAGCCCCCGCAGCCTGAAAGCAGGAGACCCTAGATCCCAAACGTTCCTCCTTTGAGAGGGTTTAGGGTTTAGGGTTTAGGGTTTAGGGTTTAGGGTTTAGGGTTTAGGGTCTAGCGTTTAGCGTTTAGGGTTCAGGACGCATGCGCTTGGCAAGGACGAGCTGGCATGGCACGAGCGTGGCACTTGTTGGGCTACACAAGCAACACCATCCCCGCATGACATGAGGCGCTGCAGGTCGGTCATTCTGTTCACGGTGCGGCGGCACTTCATCCAGGGCCTAAGCGTTGTTTGAGCAGATTCCCCGACACCGGACAAGTATGACTTGGCCAATTGCCGTTTACCCTGCTGTGCTTGAAGTGCGCGGTGGTACAACACCCTAAACCCTAAACCCTAAACCCTAAACCCTAAACCCTAAACCCTAAACCCTAATCCCTAATCCCTAATCCCTAAACCCTAAACCCATCAAGTTCAGGGAAGCGTTCTCTCTTTGCCGCTAATTCAACCGTAGCAGTATGACCGTGCCGGGCCCTGGCCTCCAAAAGGACCCATGTTTTAGATTAACCTAAACCCTAAACCCTAAACCCTAATCACTAATCCCTAAACTCTAAACCCCAAACCCTAAACCCTAAACCATAAACCATGTAAGCCTGCAAGCCTTCTCACTCTAGGGCCGAGAATGACACCCCGGAGGGAGAAAAGACCTGGGGCAGCCAGGACGAAGTAGGGTTTAGGGTTTGGGGTACTCTAAACCATAAACTCCAAGGCTTGCTGGAGTTTTTCGGGTTTAGGGTTTAGGGTTTAGGGTTTAGGGTTTAGGGTTTAGGGTTTAGGGTTTAGGGTTTAGGGTTCAGCGTTTAGGGTTTAGGGTTATCATCCAAACATCTTGGGCTACATTATCATCATTCCATTGTTAGCCCCTCAACCCTCAACCCTAAACCCTGAACTCTGAACCCTAAACCTTAAACCCTAAACCCTAAACCCTAAACCCTAGCACGCTTTCCTGGGTATCTCCTCGTACAGGCGGCCTTTGACGGACGCGACGCAGCGGGCGCCGCGGGGTTCCAAGGCCCAGACTTCTTTAGCACCTGAAAGTCCCAACCCCAAGCCAAAAGCAGCCTAAACCCTAAACCCTAAACCCTAAACCCTAAACCCTAAACCCTAAACCCTAAACCCTAAACCCTAAACCCCAAATCCTAAACCCTAAGCCCTCAACCCTCAACCCTAAACCCTAAACCCTTATGTCGTATCTACGGCTACACAAGGGGGTCCCCAATTTTGGGAGAGACCCCGTTCAGGGTCTGCAGGGGCGACGGGTTTAAGATCAGGGCTTAGGGAGTCATGTGAGAAGGTCAGGTCGGGGGTTCCTGTGGAACTTTGGGTTTAGGGCTTAGGGTTCAGGTTTAGGGTTTAGGGTTTAGGGTTTAGGGTTTAGGGTTTAGGGTTTAGGGTTTAGGGTTTAGGGTTTAGGGTTCAGGGTTCAGGGTTTATAGAGCGTTTAGGGGGCGTTAGTAGGGCTTCTTGAGGCTTTAGGGTGCGAAGGGCCCAGAGGACTTTATCAAACCACCCACAGCTTCTATAAAACCGAAACATGTGGATGTCATCTTTGCAGTGAAAGAAGGGAGAGAGAGAAAGAGAGAGAGAGAGAGACAGACACAGATAGAGAGAAAGAGAGAGGGGGAGGGAGAGAGAGACTGACCTAGAAAGCTGGACAACGGCTGAACGGCCTGAAGAGTTGATGAATGTCGGCTTCAAGAACCTCAAGAAGTGCCTTTAAAATCAAATGTCAGCCCCGGCGTATCGGAAGTTGTTGCTAACGACGAGCAAGAACACCCTAAACCCCAAACCCTAAACCCTAAACCCTAAACCCTAAACCCTAAACCCTAAACCCTAAACCCTAAACCCTAAACCCTAAACCCTAAACCCTAAACCCTAAACCCTTGACTGAGGGTCGGTTTGCTGATGACGACCTCCCGACCCTCTATGAAGCTGAGCGGTGCATCCCTTGTGATGTTCCCCCCTTACACTAACCGTCCTTAATAGGGATTAACTTGAATCCGTATTAAGGATTATAGTCGTCCTTAATAGGGATTCTAGTAGGGGGTACTATAATCACTGTACAGGATCATAGCACCCCCTTCTGTGATAGTCCTTAATAGGGGCCACAATAGGGGGTACTAGGGGGTACTAGAATCCCTAATACGGACTCTTAGTATAAGGGGGAACTTCCCCATGCATCTCCATGGTCCTTGCACCGTTCGTTTGCGAGAGGCATGCCTGAAAGGACTCGGACGGCAGGGCACGTACGACTTGTTCATCAAAAAGATCATCAATCTGCCCTACATTCCAAGAAATGGAAAGTGTCTGTCTGCGTTGAGTGGGACGACATGTTTCAGCATGTTGCCATCGGATGCAACTGGCGAGAACGCAAGGATGACACCTTTTCCTATAGCCCCCCTTGGGAATTACTTCTCTTGTTATTTATGTAAACCCTAGGGGAACAATACACATGTGATCTTTTTTTTTTTTTAAAGGTTCTAAGGGGAGCCATAGAAGCAGGGTGGCATCACGCGGCCCATGGACATGCGGTGTCAAAAGTCGCACCATTCGTTCCTCGACGAACGAAAGCAAGTCGTATGCTGTCTCTTTAGGGTTTAGGGTTTAGGGTTTGGGGTTTAGGGTTTAGGGTTTAGGGTTTTATTGTTTTGTGCGTCCGTCTCCCAAGGCGTTGCACTTACAAGGTCCTCATCGCCCGGGCTTGTCTAAGTTGTTTCTGCCACCCCGCCTCAACAGTTTCGAGCTCCATGTGCTCCTCTCGAGTGTAGGCAACATCGATTGGCGGCCGTTGCTTTTACGTGTGGATCGCCCTCGAATACTTGACGAAATACACAGCCACGCCCGCTAAGCACAGTTGATAGACGCTAACCTGCTTCATGTAGCCAGGCCTTGTGGACGCCGAAAAGACGCGATTACCACGCCCTTCTGCTTTCCGTACACGGCTTGCAACAACTTTCCCTCTGGCAAACCTCAGCTGGTGCGAGTTAGGTTTCAGGGTTTGCGCTGCAATCTATAACGGGGCATTGGAAATGTGACATGCCCCCCCCCCCCCCCCCCCCTCCCCGCACATCTGGGCGCGATTTTCCACATCGTACTTACTGACGCTTCGAGGCGAGACGCCCTAAACCCTAAACCCTAAACCAAAAACCCTAAACCCAAAGGGCTGTCTCTAAAGCCTTGCGAAACCATGAAGGACCTGGGCCCCAAACCCCAAACCTTAAAACCTAAACCCTAACCCCTAACCCCTAACACCTAACCCCAAACCCCAAACCCCAACCCCAAACCCCACACCCCAAACCCTAAACCCCAAACCCCAAAACCAAAACCCTAATTTCACGAAGCTTGGGTCTTGGCCAGGCGCTGATCCCTTCGAAATGTTCAGGCTGGGCCCGGCCTGCTTTTTGCACCTTAGATTGCTGAAGCCTCCGATCACGAAGCCCTATCTAGAGATTAGGGGTTTAGGGGTTGGGGAAAGGGGGTAGGGTTTAGGGATTAGGGATTAGGGTTTAGGGTTTAGGGTTTAGGTAGGGTAGAGCATTTCGTATGTGGGTTTGCGAAAATGGGGTTACCTGCGACAAAGCCACGTGCTCTGAAAAGGAAGGTTTGTGCGGACATTGATGCCGCAGCTTCTCTAAACCCTAAACCTTAAACCCTAAACCCTAAACCCTAAACCCTAAACCCTAAACCCTAAACCCTAAACCCTAAACCCTAAACCCTAAACCCTAAACCCTAAACCCTAGACCCTAGACCCTAGACCCTAAACCTAAACCCTAAACCCTAGACCCTAGACCCTAGACCTTAAACCCTAATCCCTAAACCCTACACCCCAAAGCCCAGCGCCCAGCATGCTTAGACCCAAAACCCTGCACCCGAAACCCGAAACCCGAAACCCGAAACCCCTAAACCCTAAACCCTAAACCCTAAACCCTAAACCCCAAACCCGAAACCCCGCACCCTAAATTTGCTTCGCCGTCTTGCTGCCTCTGCTTCTTGCATCCTCCAGACTCTTCAGACTGGAGCACAGCTCACTCCCTAGGCCCGTGATGAACCATCACCGGAGCACCTCGGCCTTGCTTGTGAAAGCTAGAGGATGGTTACGTCGTGCTGGCTGACAGGTAATTTTAGGGTTTGGGGTTTGGGGTTTAGGGTTTAGGGTTTAGGGTTTAGGACACCTTTGGTCTGGACGTTGGCGCGAGTGGTTGCCTGCCCTGCCATGATGCACTGCCCAGCCGTGCTCGCGAGCGTGAGATCCGCACTTCCTCTGAGGGTACTTTCATGGGTTTAGGGTTTAGGGTTTAGGGTTTAGGGTTTAGGGTCCCTTACCTCCCTTCAAGGGTTCTGATGTATGGGCCCTTAACTTGTATAGGGAATTTCAGGGGTACATAAGGGGTACCCTTTCAAGGGCCCATGCGAAGACTGTTACAGCTTAGAACTTCCGCCCAGCCCTGGGAAAATACCCCATGTAATCCCGTAGGGGGACATAAGGTGCCTATTTCCCTGATTTACCTGTTGAGAACTAGCAAGTCTGGATTTTTTCTCCTGACTGTGTTGAAGGGAGACCCCTAAACCCTAAGCTCTAAGCCCTAAACCCTAAGACCCAAACCCCAAGCCCTAAACCCTAAGCCCTAAACCCTCACAACAAAAGCTTGTAAGCCTCATCTGCTTGGACGGCATCCAAGAACCTTCCCTGGGTTTTGGGTTGAGGGTCCTAAACCCCAAGCCCTAGGACCCTAAACCCAGACCTTAAAGCCTAAAGCCTACAGCCTAAAGCCTGTAAACCCTGTAAACCGAAACCAGGGTATTTAGGGTCCACTCTGAAACCCTAAACTCCCTAAACTAACCCTAAAGTACGCTAACCCTTAAGCACCTTAAACTACTTCAAACCTTAAGCACCTTAAATTGCTTCAAACCTTAAGCACCTTACATGACTTCAAACCTTCTAAACTTATTTGAAAAAGCTTGCCAGGAGCATGTTCGGCCAGAACTTCGGTTTCGGCTTCGGGAGGGAAGTCACGCCGGATGTGGGCCCGGGGGCCAAGGAGAGGCCAAGAACCCTAAACCCTAATCAACCCTGATCCCGAATCCCTAAACCCTAAACCCTAAACCCTAAACCCTAAACCCTAAACCCTAAACCCTAAACCCTAAACCCCAAACCCTAAACCCCACACCCCATAAACTGGGTGCAGGCCTTAAGCCCTGCAGCCGCGACCCCCACAACCCCAGACCCGAAGTGGTTCAGGGTTCAGGGTTAAGGTTCAGGGTTTGCGGCACGCTTCTGAACTCGAAACCCTGCTGTAGGGTTTCGGGGGCTAGGCGCGGGTTTAGGGTTTAGGATTTGGGGTCTAGGGTTAGAACCGACACTGTAAGCCCTAAGCCCTAGCCCAAACCCAAAACCCAAAACCCTAAACCCTTGGATGCTCTGGCGGATTGGGAAAAGCCCAGCCCAAGAGTCCTGGGGCCCTTTACCTGCACCGGCGATTTCGCAAGTTGGTGAATTAACGCGAGACCCAGAAGCTATGAACCCGAAACCGACGCCCCCTGTATCCTACCCCCGCCAAACCCGAAAGCCCTAAAACCCTTTAACCGTGACACCCCCAAAACCCCAAAACCCTAAAACCCTCAACCGAGAATCATGAAGCCCTGAGAATCATGAAGCCCTGAAACCCCTACACATCGACCTTTTTTCCGGGAGGGGGGGGGGGGGGGGGGGGGGGGGGGGGGTTTGTCGTTTTGACGAATCGGGTTTTGGGGTTCAGGGTTTTGGAGCTGTTGGTTGAAGGCTTGGGGTCTTGCCACGACCTTTGGGTAAAAAAATGCATCATAAAGTTGCGCCATTCGTAGGCTCCAAGCTTCAAGTAAGGGGTATAATTATAAGGGTACCCTTTTAAGGGCCCATACTAAGGGACCATGTAACCACCCTTAGACACTCGCATGGAAATCATCCACATCCCCTCCGGCGAGGGTACGAGATGGAGGTGTCGCTGGAGGCTTCTTCAGGGAGTCTGGCTTGGGGGAATTGGGGCGGGCCTTATGTGGAGGTTTCCGAAATTGGGGATATCTTCTTGGGGTCCTTATAAAGGAATCCTACTATTTTGGGTTCCATTTTAGGGGCCCCATATTTCGTAAACCGCCATGTGATTCTGAGTAGTTGTGACACTTGGTTTTCCTGATGAGTGCCCTGCGTGGAGAAGGGTGAATGATGTCGGGCGCTTTGCCTGGGATCTTTTATGTGGCAGCGATGGTGGAGTCCTTATTTAGTAGGAATATTGCAGTTTAACCTTTTTTTCCACCCCTTGGTTACTGGAGAAGTAAGGTATCCTACGTGTTTGTTTCTTTTCTACTACTTTTGTAGGGGTTCGGGTTCGAAGTTTCGAGCCCCATTCAGCCTTAACCTCCAACTCACCCCGGAGCCCCAAACCCTGAACATGAAACGGGTTGTTAAGGGTTTAGGGTTTAGGGTTTAGGGTTTAGGGTTTAGGGTTTAGGGTTTAGGGTTTAGGGTTTAGGGTTTAGGGTTGTTTAGCTGCAGCCTTGCACCCAGTTGCAGGTCTAGCGTGGTGAGGGTTGCTATGATGCATATTTAACTCGGCGAGCGAAGGCATGCACAAACTGCATCCGGGGGGTTGGGCTTAGCATAGAGGGCCTAGACCCCAACCAGTAGCCTCACAGTGCATTCTCGCAAGACAAGAACATGTGACAACCTAAGCCCTAAACCCTAACCCCTGAGCCGATGGCAGTGCCAAACCTGGATTTTTGGACCTTACTTTTTGGATATCCTGGATGCTCTTCGGCACTTGCTAGATTCGTTCTTCTTCAGTCCATGCAGGGCCTCATGAGTTTCTCATCCTAGACCCTAGACCCTGAACCCTAGAACCCTAGACCCTAAACCCTAAACCCTAAACCCTAAACCCTAAACCCTAAACCCTAAACCCTAAACCTGCAGGACTTCTACGCCGGCTTCAGCAAAACGGTTCACTACGAGCGGGACATGCTGCCTTCGGTCTCCCTAAACTAGTCCCAGGGGTAGCCTAGGAAAGTAAGGTTTAGGGTTTAGGGTTTAGGGTTTAGGGTTTGGGGTTTGGGGTTTGGGGTTTGGGGTTTGGGGTTTAGGGTTTAGGGTTTAGGGTTTAGGGTTTAGGGTTTGGTTGGGGCTTAGAAGGGAACCTATATAAGCCCAACAAAAACGGGAATAAAGGGCTTACTCTGGGACGTAGTAATCACCCCTAAGCCCCAAACCCTAAAGTTGAGCGCTAGTCATCAGGATGTCTTTGGCATGTGGGTCGCTCTCTGAGTTAGGGTTTAGGGTTTAGGGTCTTAGGGTCTTAGGGTCTTAGGGTCTTAGGGTCTTGGGGTCTTAGGGTGTTTGGGTCTTAGGGTCCCCTAAAATCCTATTTAGAAGGTGCCGTACTACGTATCGGAGCTAAAAAAGGGAACCGAATACAGAGAACTACCCATGTAACTAGTGAATTTTGCCTAAGACAGTACCCGATCTCCTCCAAACAAGCTCGAATCTCCTGACAGAACCTTTTGTTTTTGGCAACGGCTCGGCTTTCGGGTCAAGAGCAACTAGGGTTCCTTTCCACAGACCTCTTTTAGAAGGTGCCGTACTATATAGGGGACCCTTAAGTTTGGAGAGCTACTCAAATCTCCTGAACGGGCTTTTAAGGAGCTTTTAGGGCTTAGCGTTTGGGGCATAGGAGGGTTTCGGGTTTAGGTTTCCGGGGGCTTTTCGGGTTTAAGGTTGCAGCACAGAGTGCCAGGGAGTGGACAGTCCTGGAGGTAGGGATGATGTAGCCCTAAACCCTAAACCCTAAACCCTAAACCCCAAACCCTAAACCCTGTAACTCTGTTGCCACCTCTCGAAGCCATCCAACACGCCACCAGGGTCAGCGGAATGGTCGACCAAGAAGCTCAGACCGATCTGAGTGGAGCGGTGTCGCAAGCATCCAGAAAACCTCTGAACAAGATAAAGGGAGGTTCCTCAGCGAGTTCCATGCGCGATGAAGGCGGTGATGAACAGGAGAAAAAAGGTGTGGACAGTTTTGAAGCTGCACCTACTGCTGAATACGCAATGGGCGGGGAGGAGATCCTGGAGATGGAGGCTGAGAGGTTGCGACAGTTGTCCGAAGAAGCTGAAGAGATGCGCCAAGTCTCCGAAGAGAATGGCTTTCGGAAGGACGAGCGTCCGATCAAAGCATGTGATGGGACAACGTGGGAGTGGCATCTCCACGAGGATGGGAGACAATATTATTACTGCCCCAAACCCAAAACCCCAAACCCTAAACCCCAAACCCTAAACCCCAAACCCTAAACCCTAAACCCCAAACCCCAAACCCTAAACCCTAAACCCTAAACCCTAAACCTTAAACCCTAACCGGTGAGGACGCAGTGTGCAGCTCCTGCAGCGGACTAGGTGCCCGCAACGTGCAGACATGCGCCTTCGGCCGCACCCGAGGGGACCTAAAGAGCCCTCAGAGGGTTTAGGCTTTAGGGGTTTAGGGTTTAGGGTTTAGGGTTTAGGGTTTAGGGTTTAGGGTTTAGGGTGTAGGGTTTAGGGGTTTAGGGTTTAGGGTTTAGGGTTTAGGGTCTAGGGGTTAGGGTTTAGGGTTTGGGTTTAGGACTTGGGGTCTTTTAGGGTTTAGGCTTTAGGGCCCTAAACCCCTGGAAACCCTAAACCCCTGGAAACCCAAAACCCTGAAAGCCCTAAACCCAAAACCTTCAACCCTCAATGAGCTTGAGCCGCAGAGATTCCGGATCTTTTCGGACTGGTAGGGTTTAGGGTTTAGGGTTTAGGGTTTAGGGTTTAGGGTTTAGGGTTTAGGGTTTAGGGTTTAGGGTTTAGGGTTTAGGGTTTAGGGTTAGGGTTTAGGGTTTAGGGATTCGGACTGTAGGGTTTATTTTCACAGATGTCCTCCGGGCCCACGCCGGCCGCCATGCAGTATGAACCTCCTGTTACTTGAAGGTGCACGGGGTAGTTTTCAAGAAGGGCTACAGGGTACCCTAAAAAACAAACCAATTCGAACTCTAGCTACCCCCCAAACCCTAAACCCCAAACCCCCAGAACTGTAAGCTCCTGTGAGTAGTGAGAAATGCAGAGATTTCCAGGCAGCCAGTGTCGTGGTATGGGCATGGTCGTGGAAGAGCGCCAGGCCATGGTGTGTGCGGCGGTTTAGGGTCTGGCCTAAACCCTAAACCCTCAACCCCAGACCCTGAACCTCCCCCAAAAACTAATACCCCTCTAGGATGCCCAGTAGTGCCCTTATTCCCTTTTTTTTTTGGGGGGGGGGGGTTTAGGTTCCCTTATAAACCCCTTTAAGCAAAAAAGGGCACCCTTTTTCAGCCTAGGTTACCAAGCCCTATAGCAGAGCCCCCAAGCCCTAAACCCTAAACCCTAAACCCTAAACCCTAAACCCTAACCCTAAACCCTAAACCCTAAACCCTAAACCCTAAACCCTAAACCCTAAACCCTAAACCCTAAACCCTAAACCCTAAACCCTAAACCCTAAACCCTAAACCCTAAACCCTAAACCCTAAACCCTAAACCCTAAACCCTAAACCCTAAACCCTAAACCCGGCCAGTTCGGCTCGATGGTGCAGCGGATCCAGCGCACCTGCCCCGTCTGTGGGGGCCGTGGGGCCGTCGCTGGGGGGCTCAGATGCGCGGTGTTTCTTGGAGGTTCTTGGCCTTGAAGGGTTTAGGGTTGAGGGTGTGCGGTTTAGGGTTTAGGGTTTAGGGTTTAGGGTTTAGGGTTTAGGGTTTAGGGTTGAAAGTAGCCAAACAGAAGCCGGCTACATGTTACGTGGTGATCTTTCCGCGTATGGGGCGAAATGAGAGGATGGTCAATGTGCTACATACTGTGGACATTCTAAACCCTACACCCTAAACCCTAAACCCTAAACCTTAAACCCTAAACCCTAAACCCTAAGCCCTAAACCCTTTTGATAAGGTGGGGGGGGGGGGAGGGGGCGGGGGCAGCTTGCCAAAGGCTGGTCTGCCCTCCGAAGGGGTTTAGGGTTTAGGGCTTAGGGCTTAGGGTTTAGGTTTTAGGGTTTAGGGTTTAGGGTTTAGGGTTTAGGCTCAGAGTTTAGGGTTTAGGGTTTAGGGTGCGGCACTCTCAGATTCAGGGTTTCATTGAGGCTTCGCAGCTTTGCAGGGACGCCCGATGTTGGCTTAATAGCACACCACCTTTTGCAGCGATTTCGAAACATCCCCAAGCCCCAAAATGCAAAACGCCAAGCCCCAAACCCCAATCCCCAAACCCCAAACCCTAATCCCCAAACCCCAATCCCCAAGCCCCAAACCCTAAACCCTAAACCCCAAACCCTAAACCCTAAACCCTAAACCCTAAACCCTAACCCCAAAACCCCAACCTTTGAGCCCGGCAGTCCAATCTTGCCCTCAGGCGAGCGATCGCTGCGGCTCTTGCCGAGGCGGGAGTCTTTCAATTGAACGTGCTGGGTTTAGGGTTTAGGGTTTAGGGTTTGGGGTTTAGGGTTTGGGGTATGGCGGGTCGAACGCTGACCAGCTTAGGAATTCCCCCCCCAACAAAAATATTCCCTGTATTTCCCTGATAAGGAAAGAATGGGTGGTTCTAAAGCAAATAGTAGCCTAGCGTCGCTAGAGAATAGCCCCCCCCCCCAAGCCTGGTCGATGTTCAGGTGCGGTGCCAAATTCTGGGATGGAACGCCGATCCTTCCTTAAAGGGACTTTAAGGGGAACCCCAAACAGGGAACGCCAAGAAGATAGTAGGAACATAATCGGAATGTACTTACCAGGGTCCTTATATTCCCTTGATATTCCCTACTCCTCTTCTTATGGTCCCGTTAGGATCCTCTTATTCCTGAATTCATTGAGCATTTGGTGACATAGGTGGCGTGGGATCCTTCAACACCAAACTACCCTGAATCCCCTACACCCTACACCTTCAAACCTATGCCCTAAACCCTACTCCTAAACCCCTAACCCCCCAACCCCAACCCCTAACCCCGAACCTCTAACCCTTAGACCCTAGACCCTAAACCCCAAACCCTAAACTCTAAACCCCTCAAGCCTACGCCCTAAACACCCAAATCCGCACCTCGAAGCCCGCGACTTTGCAGGGTCTGGCTTCCAGCGAGATCGGGCCTGGGCCTCGTCAAGGTAAGCGTTCATCGAGGTTTAGGGTTCGGGGTTTAGCCCTACCCTTTCAGGGGCATTGAAGGGCCACAAGACCTTCGAGTCTGCCAAAGCAAACTTAGTGCGGCTGGCATACCATCTCGCCGACGCACAGTCCGTGTATGTCAAGGATCTGATGACTGCCAGGCGGGCTGCCACCTCCCAGGCCATGCGATGGCACGACAAGCTGAGACATGATCTCGCAGTGGCACACAGCGAAACCTCTGTGAGCGGACAGCGGACGTCCCGCGAACAGGCTTGGAGGTTCCTGGAAGGCGACACAGGCGGTGGCACCAACCCGGACTGTCTCATGCTTGACGGCGGAGATGTCATAGCCATTAACGTGGACGAGGAGTGGCAGGCCGGCATCGTCCTCACACTGTGGCGAGGAGCGAAGAACGGCCAGGTGCAGGCTGTTGGCCCTTTGCCGCGAGGCAGCCTGAAACACTTGAGAGCAGCTGTCTTGTCCAGTCCAGAGCCGGGTGTTTTGGTTGCTGACCAGTCCAGTCGCTTCGTCATTTTGCCTGTGGAGCCAGACTAAACCCTAAATCCAAGCCCTAATCCAGAACGCTGAGCCCAGAACCCCTACACCCTAGAAGTAGAGGGTTCGGGTTCAGGGCTTCGGGTTTGGGGCTTTGTCAGGTTTGCGTTTTTTGGTTTAGGGCTGGGCCTGGCAGCGCCTCTGCACCCGGGGTGAAAAGGGGCACGATAGCCCCCAAAACCTTACATGGCAGGGCACAGTGAAGAACTGACCACTTGGGGTTTAGGTTGTGGAGTTTATGGGGTTCAGGGCGCCACTGCTTAGGCCTAAACCCAGTGCATGGGGTTTAGGGTTTTAGGCTTTAGGATGTTTTAGGGTTGAATGTGTGGAAACTCGCACGTAAACATCTTCTAGCGCATGGACCGCACCTTGTAGGGCGCAGGACTCGGACACGCCAACTGAAATCACAGTGCTATGGCAGCTGGCAGACACCCCATGCACCATTAGCAAGCCATTCGGCATCCGCACGCGACGCCATGCCCCTGGATTGAAAACCACACCGAAATCTTGAACCAAAGGACCCTGGCCCCAAACCCCCTAGACCCTATCCCCAAGCCTTAGAGCCCTAGCCTACTCCAAACCCTTCCTTCATCCTTATGCACGAAAGCCCTCAACCCTTAAACCCTAAGCCCTCAACCCTCAAGCCTAAACCCTAAACCCTAAAGCCTAAAGCCTAAAGCCTAAACCCTTAAGCCCCTTCAACCTTCCAACCCCAAAAGCCTAAGGACACCAAGCCTGGCAGCCTAAGCCAACCTGCATAATAGGGTTTAGGGTTTAGGGTTTAGGGTTTAGGGTTTAGGGTTTTGGGTTTTGGGTTTTGGGTTTAGGCATGCATTTCAAGCATCCCCCACATACATCAGCAGTCGGGACAACATGTCATGCACTCCAAGGGAGTACCTGGTGAAGGCTCAGGGACAGGGTTTTACTTCGGAGGACCTTGTTTTAAGGTATTCACGATATCAATACTGACATGGGGGTTTACTTCAGCAAGGGACCCCAAACAGTAAGATTTCCTTATAATCAGGACCCCAATAAGGTACCCCCTATTTTCGGAACCCCCCATTTTATTGTTAACAATCAGTGTTTTATGGAAAGCAATGTGAAGCAAACATAGCACAAAGCCCTACCCCACCATAGGTTGGTGTTGTATAACCTGCTTATAGATTCTTATGTTGGTTGTGTAGTACTGTGGTAAATGATGTTTTCATGCTTCAAAAGTTCTCTTCTGGGGAGGAGAGTCCACCCAAAACCCTTAAACTCAACCCTCAGACCTAAACGGAGGGGGGGATGTCCTAAACCCTAAACCCTAAACCCTAAACCCTAAACCCTAAACCCTAAACCCTAAACCCTAAACCCTAAACCCTAAACCCTAAACCCTAAACCCTAAACCCTAAACCTGAACCCTGAACCCTAAACCCTGAACCCTACCCTGAACCCTAAACCCTACACCCTAACCCTAAACCTAACCCTAAACCCTAACCCGACCCAAACCCTAAACCTAACCTAACCCTAAACCCTAAACCCAAAACCCAAACCGTAACCCTAAACCTGAACCCTAAACCCTAACCCCTAAACCCTAAACCCTAAACCCTAAACCCTAAACCCTAAACCCTAAACCCTAAACCCTAAACCCTAAACCCTAAACCCTAAACCCTAAACCCTAAACCCTAAACCCTAAACCCTAAACCCTATACCCTATACCCTATACCCTAAAACCCAAAGCCAAGGTGGAGCTCCGAGTTGTTGCACCTCCCGGCTGCCCGGACAGGCACCTCCGGAAATGTTGTGCAACTTGGGGGCACCTTGGGCTTCTCAGCCTTATGATGCACACCGGCACAGAAGTCCCCTAAACCCTACGACCGTAAGACTACACCCCCGCGCCAAACATGAGGTTGTGCGCCAAAAGTGAGGTTGTGATACAGAAGAACTCCAGGCTATGCCGAAAATGTTGGGGGGGGGGGGGGGGGGTAGTGTGGGTAGATTAATCTTCGAGGGGAGGGGGGGGGGTTAGGGGTTCAGGGTTTAGGGATACCCTAACCCTAAACCCTGAACCCTAAACCCTAAGCCCTAAACGCTAAACCCTAAACCCGAAACCCGAAACCCCAACTAGGGTTGAGGCTTCCCTTGCACCCCGAAGCCTTTACTCAAACAGGGTCCTTCCTTGGGGGGGGGGGGGGAAGGGTAGGTTTTGGGGTGCACACACACTAAACCCTACCTACAAAAAGTTCCTACAGTAACCCTAAACCCTAAACCCTAAACCCTAAACCCTAAACCCTAAACCCTAAACCCTACACCCCTAAACCCCCTCAACCCAACGTCAGATCCTCCGAATTCTACCCCTCTGGGAGCAGGGAGCGCTTCCTCTTTCCGGGGAAGGCGGATGAGGCAAGGAGCCATCGACCTTTGGCCGTGCCCCTTTGGGTTTAGGGGGCTAGGGGTTTAGGGTTTAGGGTTTAGGGTTTAGGGTTTAGGGTTTCGGGTGGTTTAGGGTTTGGGGTTTAGGGTTTAGGGTTTGGTGTTTAGGGCCGCGGCACAGGGGAGTAACCAAGGTTTTCGGTAAAACCGAAACCCTAAGCCCGAAGATGGAATACTCCTAGTATTGGTAGTACTCTGCTACTATAACGGAATACAAAAAGATCATTATCAGTACTCTTACTGCTACTATTTGAAATCCAACCCACGCTCCCCCCCCCCCCCCCCCCCCCCCGCACCTTTTCCGAAGATGGTGGCAGCCCCGTACTCTCGAAGTCTCTCGCAGCCCTGGATCCCTAGTAGCGTACTCTCTTGCAGCCCCAAACCTCACTGTTGCGATGATCCTCAGCAGGGGTCCCCAAACCCGTAACCCGAAGTTTTGGGGTCCTTGCCCTTAAACCCCTCCCCTATTATTAAACCCCCCCCCTACCCCTAATATTAAGTACCCCCCCATATACTCTAGTATAACTATAAATAGGGGGTAGGAGAGGTTTAATATTAGTTTTAGGCCCTAAACCCTGAACCCTGAACCCTGAACCCTAAACCCTAAACCCTAAACCCTAAACCCTAAACCCTAAACCCTAAACCCTAAACCCTCACCGTAAGCCCTTACGCCGCTCCCTACTCCCGCGCGCGCCGCAACCGCGCTGTCGGGCTCCAGGATCCGCGCGGGCTTAGCGCTCCAGGCAATTTAGGGTTTAGGGTTCAGGGTTTCGGGTTTAGGGTTTAGGGTTCAGGGCTTAGGGGCTTCAAAGAGCCATGGCCTTGGATTCGGCAGCTTTTGCCATCCACGGCTTCTGCGTGGACCAGCCTGGAAGGAAGTTCGGGGTTTGGGTTTGGGGTTTAGGGTTTCGGGTTTAGGGTTTAGGATTTAGGGTTTAGGGTTCAGGTTTTTGGGTTCAGGGGGTTTAGGGTTTAGGCTGCTTTTCGGGTTCGGCGTCCGCCACGCAGGTTCCTCTAGGTCCTAGAGCCTCACTTGGGGGCTTAGGGATTTAGGGGGGCTGATCCTGTTGAAAAGCCCGAGGCCCTAAAGCTGTGGGCCCCCCCCCTTCACACTCCAACACGCTGAACCTCAAAGATTCCCAAACCCCCGCAGACTCTGGAGCCCTAATACCCTAAACTCTAAACCCTGCAGCCCTGAACCCTAAAGCCCTAAAACCCCTGCCGACAATCCTTCCGCCCTAGACTCCTTATGGCCCTGAAGCTTTTGAAGTTTGTTTTGGCCCGTACATGCACCGGACTGGTCTGGGGTTGGCTTCAGGGTTTTTGGGGCTTCAGGGCCCTTAGGCCTAAACACCGCAAATCCTCTAAGCCCTCATAAACCCTAAAGGCTTTATATGCCCTTTCACCTCCCCAAACACCGAACCCTAAAACCTAATCCCCTACGCCTCTCAAAATCTTTTAAGTAGGCTAAACGGTAGTTGCATGGGCCCTTAGATATGGTCCCAAACCTCATGTACAGGGTTCTGATGTATGGGCCCTTAATGTGTGTAGGGTATATAAGGGGTAATATTGGACCCTCTTTAATGTGGGCCCCCCCCCCCCTCACCCCCCTGAATAGTCGAGGCGTGGATTTGGTCCTGATTTTCACGGCCCCGGGGGTTTATATGATTTTTAATCGGGAGGAGTTTAGATAGATTTAAAAGGGATCCATATGAATCTAAAAGGGATGATCTTCTATATGAATTTAAAAGGGATCCGCGCGAATCGAAAAGGGATCCGGGATGATTTTTCATGAATTTACAAGGGATCCATAGGTTTTTTCCAAATTTGGAGCCTCCGGGCCGGGGCCTTGACATAAAAGAGGGTCCCAAATCAGTCCCATTATTCAGGGTTGAGGGGGGCTCCTGGACCACCCCCTTGTCGGATTGAACGAACCAATTTTTCAAATGGTTTCTCAAAGGGAATTGATGGTTTCGGGCCGGTTGGAATGGATGAGGTCGGCCTTTAAAATCACAAGGTCCGGCTTTGAAATCATAAGGCCCGGCTTTAAGCCAAGAGACCAGCATCCAAATTCGGATCCTCCGGGCCGAAACACGCCCCAAATCCAAAAAAAGGCCGGAAAACCGTTTGCTTTAAAGAGGGACTCCCAAACAGTCAGGATGCCCTGAATAATTCAGCCAAATTGACTTTATAGGGGAGGCCCCCACTAAACAAGGTCCAACACGACCCTTTGAAGGGCCCATACTAGGGGACCATGTAACTACCCTTAGACCCTAAACCCTGAACCCTAGACCCTAGACCCTAAACCCTAAACCCTAAAACCTAAACCCTAAACCCTAACCCCTAACCCCTAAACCCTAAACCCTAAACCCTAAACCCTAAACCCTAAACTACCCTTAAACCCGGGGTTCATTGAGGTGGACACTCCCGAGTTTGGCTCACTCCGCGGTTTGGCGGAGCGTCGGCTCATCGTCGTGGCCAAAGATGGGCGGATCCAGCAAGTGCAGGTGGGGGGTAGGGGGTGGGGGTGTAGGGTTTAGGGTTTAGGGTTTAGGGTTTAGGGTTTAGGGTTTAGGGTTTAGGGGTTAGGGTTTAGGTTTTAGGTTTTAGGGTTTAGGGGTGGGGCGCTCAAACCCTGAACCCTCAACCCCAAACCCTGAACCTTGAACCCTAAACCCTGCAACCCTGAAACCTAAACCCCAGGAAAAGTCCTTCCTTGAAGTAAGAACCCAAACCCTGAAACCATAAAACCCTGAAACCTAAACCCCAGCAAAAGTCCTCCCCTGGAAGTAAGAACCCCAACCCCTAAACCCTAAACCCTAAACCCTAAACCCCGAACCCTGAAATCCTGAAACCCCAAAACCTAAACCCTCGGAAAAGGCCTCCCTTGAAGAAGGTCCCTATAAACCCTAAACCCTAAACCCTAAACCCCAAACCCGAAACCCTAAACCCTAAACCCCAAACCCCAAACCCTAAACCCTGAACCCGAAACCCTAAACCCTCCCTTGAAGAAGGTCGGGGAAGCCGCCGAACAGCGGAGGGAGCTGGCGGCGGCGGGCATCGCGGTGCGGGAGCTTGGGGAGAAGGAGCTTCTCTTGGGGCTAAGGGGTTTAGGTTTAGGGTTTGGGGTTTAGGGCTTAGGGTCTTGCAGGGTTTTGCGGGGTTTTTAGGGTTTAGGGTTTAGGGGTTGCAGGGTTTTTAGGGTTTGGGGTTTAGGGTTTGGGGTTTGCAGGGTTTAGGGTTTGTGGGGTTTTTAGGGTGGAGGGTTATAGGGTTTGGAAGGGTTTATAGGGTTTACAGGGTTTATAGGGCTCATAGGGCTTATAGGGCTTATAGCTGAAAGGGTTTGGGTTTACAGTTTTTCAGGGCTTGCAGGGTTAAAGGTACAGGGGTTTTGTAGGGTTTTAGACTTCAAGGTTTATCGGGTTTAGGCTTTTTGGGGTTTAGGGGTTTAGGGGTTATAGGATTTATGGCTCATGGTTTGTAGGGTTTGGGGTTCAGGGTTTTTAGGGTGTAGGGGTTATTGGGTTTAGGGCTGGAGGTACATGTGCCTTGGCTCTAGGGGTCTGGGCCCCAAAGCCAAGAACCCGAAACCCCGAAACCCCGAAACCCGAAGCTCTAAACCCTGAACCCCGCATCCTAAACCCTAAACCCTAAACCCTAAACCCTAAACCCTAAACCCTAAACCCTAAGCCCTAAACCCTAAACCCTAAACCCTAAACCCTAAACCCTAAACCCTAAACCCTAAGCCCTAAACCCTAAACCCTAAACCCTAAGCACTAAACCCCAAACCCTACACCCCAAACCCTCAACCCCTGGTATGAGGAGCTCCTGGTTCCGGGTTTCATCGACACGCACATCCACCTCCCCCAATTTCCCTACACGGGCGCCGGCATCGACAAGCCGTTGATGGCCGACGACGGCTTCTTGGCCAAGTACGCCTTCCCAACCGAGGCCTCCATGGCGGCGCTGGATACTGCCAAGTACCCTGGATTTTCTGGGAGGTTTCTCTAACGGGTTTTTTGTTGCGGGTCTAGCGGATGATTTCTGCTCAGTACCCTGGATTCGGGGAGATTTGTCTCTTACGGTTTTGGTTGGGGGCTAATTTTAGAGGATCATCTTGAGGTCTGTAGTACCTTGAGAGGGTTTTCTAGGAGTGCCAGACCCTAAACCCTAAACCCTAAACCCTAAACCCTAAACCCTAAACCCTCAACCCCAGGTACGTCTACAACGAGGCCCTGAAAGTCTTACTGACCAACGGCACCACCACCGCGGTGATCTACGGGACGACCCACCTGGAGGCCCTAAACCCTAAACCCTAAACCCTAAACCCTAAACCCTAAACCCTAAGCCCTAAGCCCTAAACCCTAAACCCTAAACCCTAAACCCTAAACCCTGGAGGCCTCGAAGGTCATGGTGGAAGCCGCCCTCGCCCTGGCAGGGCCCAGGAGCTTTGTCGGTAAGGTCTGCGCGGACAGGTGGCTCAGGGGTTTAAGGACCCTAGAAGGGACCCTTCATCGTGTTCCCTTAGATAGTCCCCACATACCTAAGTAGCCCCTAGCTATCCTCCAAATAACCCCCAGGTCCCTTAAAGACGCCCCTCCGCCCCAAAAGTTCTTCCACACCTCTCTCCCGGAGATGGAAACTGACCCCCCCCCCACTACAACCTTGGCCCATGTTTTCTGGTATGTTCCTTACTAAGCCCTAAACTCCCTAAGCTCCCCCAAACTCCCTGAACTCCCTAAACTCCCCAAACTCCCTGAACTCCCCAAACTCCCTAAACTCCCTAAACCCCCTAATCTCCCTAAACTGCCTAGACCCTCATCGGCCCTAAACCCTGAACCCAAAGCCCAAAAGCCCTGACCCGAAATCCCTCAAACGACAGGTATTGTCCAGACGACATGGTGGAGACGACCGAGCCACTGGGGTTGATTTGGGGACCCTCCTTTCTCCATTTCTAGGGGGTACAT